TAAATTGAATCAGGATCTTAAAAGTGCAGGAACCTGACGTTTTCCACTTCCTTTCTAGCATTGATTAGCACCTTAGAGCAAACACAGAAGTTGCTCCTTGTGAAAACATGAGTCCTCCTCTTTCATTAGCAAGTCCCACACTGATGTACACAACCTAGAATGTCAATATCACTCCTCCTGGGTAGTAAGGCAAGAGAGAGAGAGACGTTAATGGAGAATGAATTCTATGTTCTGTGTGCTTGCACAAACACACACACTACACAATACCTACTTAACTGAAGTTTGAAGGTACTCATACCCAAAACATTCACAGTAATTTAAAAGTCCTGAAGTCTCATAGTCCCTGTTTTACAGATGGAGAAATGGAGAGGCACTCAAAGCAGCTCTGCTCCTCACTTGGTAAAGGTGAGTGGCATTTGCTTTCCATGTGGACAGACTAGAATACAAAGGGGTTGGCCACCAACTGAGTTCTGTGTGCAGAACTTCAGCCAGGTAGCAGACTTCATTCTTGGAGAACAGGCAGCTGAGTAGAGCTGGAACTCCCTGCTTCTGTACCCTTGAAGGCTGTCTGACCTCTACCAGTGACACACCAAGAAGAAGGGGGAAGATACCTAAAATCCTGTATGCCTATGGACAGAGGGATGAATTAGGCATAGGCCCAGATATTAAGATGCTTGATCAGGTGAGAGGAGATATACATGTAGGTAATTGTACAACAATGGAATAATGATGTGATAGAAAGACTGGTGGGTGGAGTTCCAGCATGAGAAGTTGGGCAGTTGGGTGCTCCGATAAAGATGACCCCTAAGCTAAATCTTAAAAGATAAGAAGAATCAGCTCTGATATGGCAGGGGGCAAAGGCCATGAAATCCTCTGAAATGCCCTGGGGTCTGTTAGCTGGAGCCCCATCTCTGTTTGGAGCAGTCAGCAGTACATCTTATATACATATACATTAAAAAATGTGTTATTGCTTTGAGTCTTTTCATCAATCTGTATATTTTTCTGAACATTTATTTTATATATTTTTTATTATTATTACACTTTAAGTTCTGGGATACATGTGCAGATCTTGCAGGATTGTTACATAGGTCTACACATGCCATAGTGGTTTGCTGACTCCGTCCCCCTGTCACCTACATTAACTATTTCTCCCAATGTTATCCCTCTCCAATCTCCCCACCCCCCACTATCCCTCCCCTAGACCCCCACCCCCCAACAGACCCCAGTATGTGATGTTCCCCTCCCTGTGTCCATGTGTTCTCATCGTTCAACATCCACCTATGAATGAGAACATGCAGTGATTGGTTTTCTGTTCTTGCGTCAGTTTGCTGAGAATGATGGTTTCCAGATTCATCCATGTCCCTGCAACAAACATGAACTCATCTTTTTTATGGCTGCATAATATTCCATGGTGTATACGTGTCACATTTTCCTTCTCCAGTCTATCATCGATGGGCATTTGGGTTGGTTCCAGGTCTTTGCTATTGTAAACAGTGCTGCAATGAACATTCGTGTGCTTGTGTCCTTATAGTAGAATGATTTATAATCCTTTGGGTATATACCCAGTAATGGGATTGCTGGGTCAAATGGAATTTCTATTTCTAGGTCCTTGAGGAATCGCCACACTGTCTTCCCCAATGGTTGAACTAATTTACACTCCCACCAACAGTGTAAAAGTGTTCCTCTTTCTCCACATCCTCCCCAGCATCTGTTGTCTCCAGATTTTTTAATGATCGCCATTCTAACTGATGTGAGATGGCATCTCAATATAGTTTTGATTTGCATTTCTTTAATGACCAGTGATGATGAGCATTTTTTTCATAGGAGCACTATGTTTTGCTCTCAATATGTTCTTGAGATTTCTCTATATTATTTATAGTGGTTGACTCCATTCCTGTTTAACTCCCATGAGCCTATTGATAAACATTTAGGTTTATCTAATGTTTAGCCATTACAAATAGTCCAGGAATGCATGCTCCCTTGTCTCCTTCGGTATGCATGAGAGGGTTTTCAAAAGTAAACACCAAGTAGTGGAATTTCCAGGTGCTATGGACTGAATGTTTACATCTCAAAAAAATTCCATCCTCCAACATGATGGTATTTGGAGATGGAGTCTTTGGGAGGTAATCAGGTCTAAACCTAAATAGGTTATTACGGTGGGATGATAATGGGATTAATACCCTTTTAAGAAACCAGACAGCTTTCTCTGTCTCTCTGTCCCCACCGTGTAACAATGCAGTAGGAAGGTGGCCATTTACAAGCCAGAAGGAGAGCTCTCACTAGAACCCAACCATGCTGACACCCTAACCATAGACTTCTCAGTCTCCAGAACCATGGTAAATAAATGCCTATTGTTTAAACCACCCAGTATATTGGCATTTTGTTATAGCAAACTGAGTAGCTAAGACACTGGGGCATGTATAGTGGTAGGAAATGTCCCAATTTGCATTTTCACAAGCACAGCCTCACCAACGTGATATTGTCAGCATTTTTCATCCAATTTGTGCTTTGTAGAAGATTTTCACCATCCTCGCTGGGCACAGCTAAGTCCCAAACATCTAAACTTCTCTTAAAAGCGGGAGAAGAAGCATTTATTCAGCTCCAGGCCCCTTCCGGCACACCCATTGCCTCTTAGAACACTCCAACAGAGATATTATGATTTCTACTTTGCAAAGAGAAAACTGAAGTTAAGGGAGGTGAAGTGACTTGCCTGAGGTGACACACCTGAAAGTTGTGGAACTAGGGCTCAAAAGCAGGTGTGCCTGTTGTTAACATCTATACTCTTGTTCACTGTGTTATGGACTCAACTAATGTTTTTTGAGCTTTGATTATATACCCCACCCTGGGGATACAAAAATGAATTATGGGGCATTCTTAGTGCATAGTAATAGTCAATGAATCTTTGTTGAATGACTGTTGAATCAAGGAGCTCAAAGTTCACAGAGACAAACATGTAAAAGACATTTGCAATAGAATGGTGAAGCACCATGAGAGACACACAGTAATCGTTTCCCTTTACCCAGTTTTGCTTTCTGCAGTTTCAGTTACCTGCAGTCAACTGTGACCTGAAAACATTACAAACAGGCCAGGTGCAGTGGTTCACGCCTGTAATGTCAGCACTTTGGGAGGCTGAAACAGGTGGATCACCTGAGGTCAGGAGTTCAAGACCAACCTGGCCAATGTGGTAAAACCCCATCTCTACTAAAAACAGAAAGATAAAAAATAAAAAACTGGGCATGGTAGCATATGCCTGTGGTCCCAGCCACTCAGGAGGCTGAGGGAGGAGAATCACTTGGACCCGGGCGGTGGAAGTTACAGTGAACTGAAAGCCAAGATCACAGCACTGCACTCCAGCCTGGGTGACAGAGTGAGATTCCATCTCAAATGTGTGTGTGTGTGTGTGTGTGTGTGTAGATGTGTGTGTATATACACATATATGTATGTATTACAAACAGATATTTTGAGGGACAGAGAGACCACATTCATATAACTTGTATTACAGTACATTGGTATAATTGTTCTATTTTATTATTAGTTATTGTTGTTATCCCTTACTATGCCTAATTTATAAATTAAGCTTTATCATGAGATGAATGTATAGGGAAAAAATCATATATATAGGGTTCAGTCCTATCTGTGATTTCATACTCCCCTAGCGGTATTGGAACATATTCCCCATTGATATGGGGGAACTACTGTATGCTCCAGCGCAGCAGGGCATAGACAGGAAAAATGTTTAGTTTTAAGGGATAGATCAGGGAAGGCTTTACCTTGGAGACAGTTTTTACCAAACACAAAAGGAGGAAATGAGTTCCAGGCAAAGAGAAAAAATCCCAGGTGCAGGAGTGTGAAGCAACATTGCATTTTCTGGGAATTATACTACTTTAGATCGCCATGAAGTTGCTTTCTTCCAGTTTTTAGCCAAAGCATGCAGCTCAATGTATTTCCATTCATAGGGCCTTTGTTAAATGCCTGTGTGTGCCAGGCCCTGTGAAAGAAGCTTTACATGCATTATCTCATTGAATCCTTGCAGCTTTCCCCCATTATACAGATGAGAACATTGAGGCTCAGAGAGACCAAGAATTCAGCCGGAAATATATTCATACTCTGTTCTTTCTACTCCCCACTGTTTCCTCAAGATACCAGACTACTCCATCTTACTCCAAAGGAAAGATGTCCCTCCCAGCAAACCTCAAAACCCACGGCCAGGTGCCCTTTGGGTCTGGAGATTATTTCTGTCCATCCCATTGTCTCTTTCCTTACCTGGAAAACTGGAGAGGAGAATGCATACAGAGTCACAGAGTTTTCAATCATTGGATGGACACTAAATATCATCCCATTCAGTCATTTAACAAATCTTTTGAGCACCAGCTATGTGCTAGGCAATGCTGTCAGTGCAATAGATACAACAGTAAGATAGACAAGACTCCTGTTGGGTGGTAGAGCGTGCCTATAATCCTAGCTGCTTGGGAGGCTGAGGTGGGAGGAGGATCACTTAAGCCCAGGAATTTTAATCCAGCCTAGGCAACATAGCGAGACCTTGTCTCTTTAAAAGAAAAAAAAAAAAGGCTGGGCATGATGGCTCATGCCTGTAATCCTAGCTATTTGGGAAGCCGAGGCAGGCAGATCACTTGAGGTCAGGAGTTGAAGACCAGTCTGGCCAACATGGTGAAACCCTGTCTCTACTAAAATACAAAAATTAGCTGGACATGGTGGCAGGCACCTATAGTCCCAGCTACTTGGGAGGCTGAGATAGGAGAATCACTTGAACCCAGGAAGTGGAGGTTGCAGTGAGCTGAGATTGCACCACTGCACTCCAGCCTGGGTGACAGAATGAGACTCCATCTTTCTGCAATGACTTCTAAGAGTTAGAAACACAGATTTTGAGAGGTAATGTGGCTTGCCCAAGGTCGCATAGCAATTTTGTTGCATATTTGGGCTGAAACCCAAGCCTGCCTAACTCCCAGTACACGATGCTTTCTTCTCCCTGGCCATGGCCTTGACCTTTCTCTCATCTCCCTCGTGCTTTGCCTCTTTTCAGTCTCTGTCCAGTAGGATGAACTCAGCGAACCTCACCTGGGCCACGGGTGCCCCTGCTGAATTCATCCTCCTCGGCATCACGAATCGCCAGGACCTGCGTGTGGCCCTCTTCCTGACCTGCCTGCCTGTCTACCTGGTGAGCCTGCTGGGAAACATGAGCATGGCGCTGCTGATCCACGTGGATGCCCGGCTCCACACACCTATGTACTTCTTCCTGGCCAACCTCTCCCTGCTGGATGCCTGCTATTCCTCCGCCATTGGTCCCAAGATGCTAGTGGACCTGCTGCTGCCCCGAGCCACCATCCCTTACACAGCCTGTGCTCTCCAGATGTTTGTCTTTGCAGGTCTGGCTGACACCGAGTGTTGCTTACTGGCAGCCATGGCCTATGACCGCTACGTGGCCATCAGCAAACCGCTTCTATATACAACAGCTATGTCACAGCATCTATGCTTGGCCTTGCTGGGGGCTTCGGGCCTGGGGGGAGCAGTGAGCGCCTTTGTTCACACAACCCTCACCTTCCGCCTGAGTTTCTGCCACTCCCGGGAGATCAATAGCTTCTTCTGTGATATCCCTCCACTGCTGGCCATCTCGTGCAGTGATACCCATCTCAACGAACTCCTTCTCTTCGCCATCTGTGGCTTCATCCAGACAGCCACGGTGTTAGCTATCACAGTGTCTTATGGATTCATCGCTCGGGCTGTGATCCACATGCACTCAGTCAGGGGCCGTCAGCGAGCAGCCTCCACCTGTGGCTCCCACCTCACAGCTGTGGCCATGATGTACGGGACACTCATTTTCATGTACCTGCGCCCCAGCTCCAGCTATGCCCTGGACACTGACAAGATTGCCTCTGTGTTCTATACCCTGGTCATCCCGGCTCTCAACCCGCTCATCTACAGCCTCCGCAACAAGGAGGTCAAGCAGGCCCTCAGGCGGACCTGGAGCCGATTCCACTGTCCAGGACAGGGGTCCCAGTGATTGGTTCAGGGAGGCTGAGTAGATCTGATTATGAGGGGATGAGGAGGATTCTCTTTCTGGCTGCAGTCACTGTCGGTAAAGATGGGACGTTCCTCTGGCTTGGATGTCTCTTGTCATTGTATAAGGGACAATGGAGGAAATGGAAAGCTTATAGCAGGAAGGAAAAGACTTGGGGTTCATCCAGGGCTAGACCTAGAGCCAGAGCCTAGACCAGGCTAATGTTGCTGTTGCACTGCCTCAGGTTCTTCAACATTCAAAACATAAACGTTCAGCCCGGTGCAGTGGCTCACGCCTGTAACTCCAGCACTTTGGGAGGCTGAGGCAGGAGTTCAAGACCAGCCTGGGCAACCAGTCACTACAAAAAAAATTGTTAAAAATAAGCCGGGCATGATGGTATACTATGCAGCCATAAAAAAGAAAGAGATCAGAGCTGGGCATGGTGGCTCATGCCTGTAATTCCAGCACTCTGGGAGGCCCAGGCAGGTGTGGATCATGAGGTCAGGAGTTCAAGACCATCCTGGTTAACATGGTAAAACCCCATCTCTACTAAAAATACAAAAAAATTAGCTGGGCCCGGTGGTGGCATGCGCCTGTACTTCCAGCTACTTGGGAGGCTGAGGTAGGAGAATCACTTGAACCTGGGAGGCAGAGGTTGCAGTGAACCGAAATCGAACAGAGCAAGACTCCATCTCAAAAAGAAAAGAAAAAGAAAGTTTAAGTCACAGTCTGGTTATTATTACAAGTAAGCTAGGATCAGATCTAGATGAAGTTTAGGCATAACAATATTTTAGGTATCAAATTGGCATGCTTGTGGCCACTTTTTTAGTTGGGTTTATAAATAATGTTACTTAAAGCCTAAAGGTAGGGGTTGGTTGTTGGCGAATTTCAGTTTCATTCAGAGTTCTGAGCATGCATGGATTTGTATGTGGTTGGGTAGGATTACTATCATGACTGTTTTGTGTTAAGAGTCCAGCATTGAGGTAGGGTTGGAGTTTGAGAGGGAATGTCACAACCCTGATGTCTTAGGCAACAGTAACTATACTGCCCCAAGCCTTGAGTCATGGGGGACCTCCCAGACCCAGTGCTCTTGGGAGTTTCAGTCATCCAGAGTTCACAATTTTGACAGATCTCTTTTGTCTCCATACCTCATTTACACATAGGCAAGGTCCAAGATACTGCATTCTGCCTGGGAAGTCTCTCTCTGCAGGAGCGGACAGTAGTGGACCCTGGGAGTTACAGGCAACAGACTCCAAGAAGAGGTGGAGCATGGCCAGATTTAAGTGTCTGCTCCTACCTGATCTCCCCTCCAGTTCCCCTGATTATGGCTGAGGCAAGGCCAGGGGTAGGAAAAGTATGAGACTCAAATATGCTTCACCCAACAGGCTGCCCATGGAGCCTCTTCCTTGGGCCCTAGCCAGGGGCTGGCCTTGCCCCTCTACACTCTCCCTTCAAGGAGAAATCAAACACCTGGCACTTAGACTGCAGGAAAACTGAAAGCTTCAACCTGGCTCCCTGGGAAGAAAATGACCCTCATTGCCAGGACCAAGACCCTCCCTCTTGGTAACAATGGCATTCTGGGAGGTCCCAGGCTAATGAAGAGAAGAATGTGGACAAGAGCATCTGCTCAAATCTTAGAGAACTTTACGGGTTTCCTGACTCACCCCAGTTTTCCCAGAATGGTCCCAGTTTTAAAATTCCAAGTCCCATGTCCCAAGACACTCTCAGTCCTGGGCAAATCAATATAGTTGATCGTCCCATTTCCTGATGAAGCAGCATCTTGAGAGAAAAGGGGCAATGTCCCAAATTCAGCACATTTTGAAAAGAGTTAGATAAAATAAAACCCCTTCTCTTACATGAGACTTGATCATTCTCTCCCAGTCCCCCAACTCCTCTTGCCTCCTATCGCCATAGCAACTCAGGTGCCATGACAAACGTTAGAGGCATTATCAAAAGAGCTGGCAACCTGAGGACTGTGAATGTAAGACTTGGCCAAAATTCAACATTAGACTCAAAGATCTTCTCTATGGTCCTATTTCTTTTTTGTGGGTTCTTGGACTCTTGTGACATACAGCAGCCACCACAATCAATGGAAAGTTTCCAGAGGGATAAGAACCCTTCCATCACATGTAACTCTTGGCCTTACATGTTTTCCATGGCTCCTTTCACATATTTAGCAGGCATGGAGCAGCCAGATACAACAATTATGCAAATCGTAGAAATCAACTAGAGGAAATAACCAAGTTTCAGGCTATGATACTGGGCCTACTTGACAGATGAGAAAAGAAACAAGAGGGAAAGGATTAGAAGACAGTAACAGAGCCCAACCTGGAGAATGAAGGAAGAGAGACAAATCACCCTTCCTAAAGTGAGATGCCCAGAAGAATGTGCCCAATTCTGATAAAGTATTTCCTTCAACACCACTTATTAAAGCAAGCAGTGAGGACAGGAAGATGGGGAAGACTGGGGCACTCATTGCACGAAACAAGTTGGGCCCTGCAACATGGGTGGAAATTGAAGGGAGAAGGCAATTGCATCAGGGGGGCAAGGAGCAAGTATATACAAAGGCATGGAAGTGAAATAAGCTCAGCATGAGCAGAAGACGCTAAGGAGAACAATTTAACTGGCTTGAGAGGATGTGCTGGGAAAGGAGTAGAGGGAAGTTTGAAGATTGAATGTTAGGGAGTGAGAAGAACACTCCATGGTTTCAATATTAGGTAAGAAATTTAGACTTTATTGAAGAGGCAATAGTAAATCATTGGAAGTTTATATATTCAGAATCATTTTTTCTGGTTGTTCTAACAGTGCTTTGTAAAGCTATTCCCATCTGGAGTGGTACATACAGGTTCAGTTTCCTCATACTGCAATACACACACAGATACACATATCCCTTCAATAAAGGCCTCATCTCCTATTAGAAATACTCCTTGCTGGAAATAAGAGTAGGCACAAATAAATGGAAAAAACATTCCATGTTCATGGATAGGAAGAATCAGTATTGTGAAAATGGCCATACTGCCCAAAGTAATTTATAGATTCAATGCTGTTCCATCAAGCTACCAGTGACTTTCTTCATGGAATTAGAAAAAAAAAACACTGTAAATTTCATTTGGAACCAAAAAAGAGCCCATAAAGCCAAGACAATCCTAGGCAAAAAGAACAAAGCTGGACACATCACACTACCTGACTTCAAGCTATACTGCAAGGCTACAGTAACCAAAAACAGCATAGTACTGGTATCAAAACAGATATATAGATCAAGGGAACAGAACAGAGACCTCAGAAATAACACCACACATCTACAACCATCCGATCTTCAATAAACCTGACAAAAACGAGCAATGAGAAAAGGATTCCCAATTTAATAAATGGTTTGGGAAATCTGGCTGGCAATATGTGGAAATCTGAAACAGGACCCCTTCCTTACACTTTATACAAAAATTAACTCAAGATGGATTAAAGACTTAAATGTGAAACTCAAAACCATAGAAACCCTAGAAAAAAACCTGTGCAATACCATTTAGGACATAGGCATGGGCAAAAACTTCATGATTAAAACACCAAAAGCAATTCCAACAAAAGCCAAAATTGACACATGGGAGGTAATCAAACTAAAGAGCTTCTGCACAGCAAAAGAAACTATCATCAGAGTGAACAGGCAGCCTGCAGAATGGGAGAAAAAGTTTGCAATCTACCCATCTGACAAAGCACTAATAACCAGAATCTACAAGGAACTTAAACAAATTTACAAGAAAAAAACAAACAATCCCATCAAAAAGTGGGCAAAGGATATGAACAGACACTTCTCAAAAGAAGACATTTATGTGGCCAACAAACATGAAAAAAAGCTCATCATCACTGATCATTAGAGAAATGCAAATCAAAACCACAGTGAGATACCATCTCACACCAGTTAAAATGGTGATCATTGAAAAGTCAGGAAACAACAGATGCTGGTGAGGCCATGGAGAAATAGGAATGCTTTTACACTGTTGGAGGGAATGTAAATCAGTTCAACCATTGTGGAAGACAGTGTAGTAATTCCTCAATGATCTAGAACCAGAAATACCGTCCATTTGACCCAGAAATCCCATTACTTGGTATATACCTAAAGGATTATAAGTCATTCTTCTATAAAGACACATGTACACATATGTTTATTGCAGCACTATTTACAATAGCAAAGACCTGGAACCAACCCAAATGCCCATCAATGATAGACTGGATAAAGAAAATGTGGCACAGATACACCATGAAATACTATGCAGCCATAAAAAAGGATAAGTTCATGTCCTTTGCAGAGACATAGGTGAAATGGAAAGCCATTATTCTCAGCAAACTAAAACAGAAACAGAAAACTAAACACCACATGTTCTCACTCATAAGTGGGAACTGAACAATGAAAACACATGGACACAGGGAGGGGAACATGACACACAGAGGGCTGTCAGGGAGTAAGGGGCAAGCAGAGGTAGAGCATTAGGACAAATACCTAATGCATGCAGGGCTTAAAATCTAGATGATGAGTTGATAGGTGCAGCAAACCACCATGGCACATATATAGCTCCATAACAAACCTGCACTTTCTGCACATGTATCCCAGAACTTAAAGTAAAATTTAAAAAAAAAAAAGAAATATCTCTTGCTAAGGAAACACTCTCATAGTTCTGACCACCCACACAGACACAGATGCAACTGCATACTGAGACACACATCCAAGCTCACAGACAAACGGAGTTGCACAGAGACACAATCGCTCTCACAAACACAGCTCTACAAATTGAGATTGTTGATAATGGCTATGATTGCCACAGTCACCAGAGGAACAATTCCTCCCACACTCCACACTCCACACTCCACACATCCTATAAGAAGCCACCATGAGGTGATGGTGACAGGTGAGGTAAGAGGAGGGTTGGCTCCAGCAGCTACAGCTGTAAACCCTGGGATCCCCAGGTCACTCTACCTGGGGCTCAGAGGTCAACCTGACCCTTCTCTCTCATCTTCACAAGACAGGGACTGAGGAGCAGCAGTTTTGCAGTACGCAGGGCTCCTGAATGTCCCTGAGTTTGAGGTGCTGCCAGTCACCTCCTCCTCCATCAAACTGGTCCCTAAAGAGGAAGGATAACAAGCCCCACAGCCAGCCTGTCTTGTGCACCAGGGATGAAGGCCACTAGAAGAGGGTGTTGCCTCTGGGGAAAAGCTAAGGTGCTCCCCAGGCTCTAAACCCCATAAGCATGGCCAATCACTCCCTCCTCAGACTCTCCAGTGTCAAGCCACTCCTAGGCCCTGCTGCTGTTCCTTCCTGTGATGTGCAGAACCCAGAGGGTACACTTGGGGACAACAGACCAGGCTGCAGAGTGCAGATTTGCCTTCCTGTGTGTAACTGTGTACATAAGTCAGACGTGTGAGTATGAGAGTACGTGTTGTTTGCAAGACTGTGATTGTGTATTACCATCACTGCCCAATGGTTTCATTGTAGGGGGTAGGAGGCAGTGTGTACATGCACATGCCCCTCTAGCGTGGTACATCTCTGCTGTGGTCCACCGTGAGTCTACATGAGTGCATCCCTGTACGTGAAAGTGTGAGGCTGTGTACAAAGATGTGATTGTATGATCAATGAGGGGACTGGGTGTGACTGGGCATGCGTGGATGGGCACTGGTAGAGTGTTCACACTCAGTAAGCAGTCAATGAAAACATGAATGTGCATGATGGGTCATGGCAGCTATGCACGGCACTATATAGTATGTGAATGATTGTCACTCTCTGGCCTTAGTGTCATTTTGTGATTGCATTTGGCCATGTGTGTATGTGCATGCTGATCTTGGTTTTTGAATCTTGAGGTAATGGTTGTCTGCCTACTTTGCCGTGAAGGCAGGTGCTGGCTCCACATCTCTGATTATGACTGGTCGTGCCTATGTATTTGCAGAAACCAGCTTGAGGATGCACATGTCTGTGTACTTGCATGTGTGTTTGCAACTACATTTGAATGTTTATACAACCATCTTAGTATATTTGAATGTTTATTGGGACCAATTTAGACACAGGTCAGAGCAGCTTCATTTTTCCAAAAGCAATTCTATAAACAAGCTTCCCCTTCCACCCTAACCAATCACCCTGATCCTCTTCCCCGCTCAGAAAGTGAGAAATAATTAGGGGCTTAAGAAAAGATGCTTTAGAGGAAGCCAAAGTCAGAAGATTCTTCTTCATCGATGGAGGGAAAAAAAATGAATACAATAGGGTAGGAAGGTCCTTCATTTGATTTTTTTTAATAGAGAATGATGTGAAAATAAATTAAAGATAATTTCCCTGTAAAGATGGTTTCAGCGTTGTCTTCAGCAAACCTGTGCCCTAAAATTCCTCCAAGTTACTTCAATTCCCTTCTTAAAGAATTGCCCAAGGTTTCTGCAAGGAAATTCAAACAGAAAAAAAATTGAGGCATTGAAAACAAGTCCCCTCTGTCCTTCAGAGTCAAATTACTGTGCCTGGGGCGATGCGTCCATCTGTCCACACGAGTTGCTCACACTCTGAGGTGCATCCGCTTGGTGCTCCATGTTTGATTTCATGGGGAAAGTGTTTAGGGATATGAGGAGTCATTCAAATTCTCTTGTTGTTGTGTTGTGTTGTTTTGTTTTGTTCTTTGAGATGGAGTCTCACTCTGTCACCCCGGCTGGAGTGCAGTGGCGCATCCCAGCTCACTGCAACCTCTGCCTCCCAGGTTCAAGCAATTCCCCTGCCTCAGGCTCCCTAGAAGCTGGGAATACAGGTGCCCACCACCATACCCAGCTAAGTTTTGTATTTTTTTTAGTAGAGATGGGGTTTCACCATGTTGACCAGGCTAGTCTCAAACTCCTGACCTCAGGTGATCCACCCACCTCAGCCTCCCATAGTGCTGGGATTACACACGTGAGCCACCGCACCCAGGCTTGTTCTTTTTTTTTAGTCTGAAAATATCTGTATTCTTTACTCACACTTGAGTAGTATTTTTGCTTAGTGGAGAACTCTAAGTTCAAAATATTTTTTTCTTCAGAATTTGAATGCTATTAAACTGTGCTCTGTAATCTGCTGTTGAACTGAAACATTTGATGGCAATCCAATTATATGGATATCATCAGTTCGTTGTCCCCATGTCCTAAGGAAGTACTGGATTCTCCTCTTCATTACCAGTGTTCTAAAATTCCACTATTTGCGTCTAGCTGCTGTGGTTCATATTCATTTCAATGTAAACATATGTGCTTTTTAGATTTTTTTTCCTAGAGTTTCTTTCTTATGTTTCTCTCCTCCATCGTGGTTTTGTTTCATTCTTCTTTTCCAAAATAAATGTCCACTGGTCAGATCTTTTCTGTGTTAAGCCTCTCTCTGTTTCATCTTTTCTTTCATATTTTCCTCCTTCTCTGATCTAAATCTTGTGCAATATCTTTTGTTCTATTTTTGCTTAAATCACAAACTATAAAATTTGGACATGACCTTGAAGATGAGGTACTAATTGAAGTACCTCTTATTTCTCTTATTTCGCAGATTGAAAGTCTAAGGCCTAGAAAGGAAGGTGGTTCAGGGAGGTGAAATGACTTGCCCACAGTTCCACCTGTGTATAGGGCCAGGGCTACCTGCCTCTAAACCCTTCATTTTTCCCATGGCCAGGAAGCCTGGAACAATTGATTTCCTCACCTTTTCCCTTAGACATCAGGGAGATGACCCGTCAATAGACAGGAATCCTTGAGGTTCCAGGCGAATAACCAGCCTGCCATGGATGCTGCCAACGAGTCTTCAGAGGGAACTCCGTTCATCCTACTAGGATTGACAACAAGTCCTGGACAGCAGCGGCCTCTCTTTGTGCTGTTCTTGCTCTTTATGTAGCTGGCCTCCTGGGTAATGGACTCACTGTGGTTGCCATCCGGGCCAGTCCAGGCCTTCATGCACTCATGTACTTCTTGCTGTCCCGCCTGTCCTTTGCTGACCTCTGATTCACCTCCATGACTGTGCCCAAGACGTTGGTCAACTTGATGGCCCATGACCGCTCCATCTCACTGACTGGCTGCCTGATCCAAATGTACTTCTTCTTTGCCCTGGGAATTACTGATAGCTGTCTCCTGGCTGCCATGGCCTATGGCCTCTACGTGGCCATCCAGCACCCCCTCCACTATGCCACAAGGATGTCCCGGGCCATGTGCACAGCCCTGGTGGGGCTGGCATGGCTGGTGTCCCACATCCACTCCCTCCTGCATATCCTGCTCATGGCCTGCTTGTCCTTCTGTGCCTCCCACCAAGTGCCCCACTTCTTCTGTGACCACCAGCCTCTCTTAAGGCTCTCATGCTCTAACACCCACCACATCCAGCTGCTCATCTTCACTGAGGGTACCGCGGTGGTAGTCACCCCCTTCCTGCCCATCCTTGCCTCCTATGGGGCCATTGCAGCTGCCATGCTCCGGCTGCCCTTGGCCTCCGGGAGGCTCCGGGCTGTGTCCACCTGTGGCTCCCACCTGGCTGTGGTGAGCCTCTTCTATGGGAAAGTCATTGCAGTCTACTTCCAGCCCACAGCCTGATACGAGGCAGAGCGGGGCTGTGTGGCCACTGTCATGTACATTGTAGTCACCCCCATGCTGAACCCCGTCATCTACAGCCTCCGGAACCATGACGTACAGGGGGCGCTCCAAGCCCTTCACTGGGCAAAGGATCTCAGCTAGTAACTCCTGAGGGCAGGACCCCACTAAGGACAGACTGCATCATGCATACCAGCAACTCATGAATGTGACCATCTGTCCTCTGCTATGCTCAAAAATCATAACAACCATCATTTTCTGAGTTGTTGCCTGATCTCACTTTATTCCCACAGCAACTGGGGATGCAGATATTATGATCCGGCTTTACATAGAAGAAAACTTGTCTTTGGGCTCAAAGATAAGAAATGACTTTCTGGCCGGGTGCAGTGGCTCACTTTGGGAGGCCAAGGCAGTGGATCACGTGAGGTCAGGAGTTTGAGACCAGCCTGGCCAACATGGCAAAACCCTGTCTCTACAAAAAATACAAAAATTAGCCAGGTGTGGTGGTTGCACCTGTAATCTCAGCTACTTGGGAAACTGAGGCCAGAGAATCACTAGAACCCGATAGAGGAAGGTTGAAGGGAGCCGAGATTGCAGCACTGCACTGCAGCCTGAGTGAAAGAGCAAGGCTCCATGAATAAGAAAAGGAGGAAGAAGGAGGAGGAGGAGGAGGAGGAGGAGGAGGAGGAGGAGGAGGAGGAGGAGGAGGAGGAGAAGGAGGAGGAGGAGAAAGAAAAAGAGGAAGAGGAGGAGGAGGAGGAGACTTTCCCAAAAGCCTGGGCCCCTTCTGCCACATCACGCCCTTCTAATGGTCACCCTCAGGCATTTAGAACACATTCCACCATTTCCTACAGACTGAGGTCAATCCAGGAGGGTGTGACATCCACAGGACTTGCCTTATGTGGATGAGCCCTTCCTTTTAGTCATATGGCCATGTGTTCTCAAAGTAATTGACTTCTCAACTGGGACAGGAATAGAGAAGTTCACACAGGAGGCCCTCTGCACATCTGAGCTGAATAAATGACTGTTGATACTAATGCACATGTAGAAGAGTCCATTTTGCTTACTCTTCGTTCTTTGCCTTGTTTGCTATCATGGCACCTGTTCTGCCACGCCTGCCATTCTGCAGAAGGAGCACATTGTGAACATGCATGGTCATGAATGAAGGATGCAAAGCTGAGAAGGAAGGGCATAAGTGTTATTGTATAAGACTTCATCATTTGCCAGCACTTATTTTTACCCACAAAAAGCATGAGTATTCTTATTGTCACTTCATGAATGAGGAAACTGAGGCTCCAAGCTGGTAACCTAGTAAGTGTCGGAGCCAGAGCAAGCCCTTATGCCGCTTGGATCACTCAGGTGTGTTTTACTGAGCCCCACAGAATCCACGCTCCAGATTTTGGTGCCTCTGTGGAAGTACTTACAAGAAGATGTCTCAGACCAGGGCAGGTGCACAGCCTCAAGTAAGGACACATTTTGGGGACTGAAAGGGCCTGAGGTATCCAAGTTTTTACCAAACAGGTTTATGAGGTGGGAGCTCTTAGGTCTGTGTTTCTCTAAGAAATCTGCACCCACCTCCCCATCCCCTAGTCCCAACTCCACTCCTACCCCATTCCCCTGCCCCAGAGAGGAGGAGACACAGCTACAGTGTCCTAGACCCAGCCCCTTCCAGGTCACTCAGGTGAATCTGCCACTACTGGGTCCCAGAACCGCTGCACTGTGCTGTTTAGATCAAAAGGGACCTTAAAGGTCTTTAGACTGGTAGCTTTAACCAAAAAAAAAAAAAAAAAAGAAAGAAAGAAAGAAAAGAAAACAAACAAAACATATTATTTACATAGAAACACAACATATAGGCCAGGCACGGTGGCTCATGCCTGTAATCCCATCACTTTGGGAGGCCAAGGCAGGCAAATCACGAGGTCAGAAGTTTAAGACCAGCCTAGCTAACATAGTGAAACTCCATCTCTACTAAAAATACAAAAAATTAGCTGAGCATGGTGGCAGGTGCCTGTAATCCCAGCTACTAGGGAGGCTGAAGCAGGAGAATCACTTGAACCTGGGAGGTGGAGGTTGCAGTGAGCCCAGATCTCACACCATTGCACTCCAGCCTGGGTGACAGAGTGATACTCTGTCTCAAAAATAAATAAATAAAATATACACACACACACACACATATATAACACAGGTGGAGGAGAAGCCTTCACTTGATAAATGGGGAAACTGAGGCCCAGACTGGTTAAGGGACCTGCTCAAGATCACATAGAGTCAGTGGCAACCTTCAGGCTTCCTTGTTCAAACTGCCAGTGCCCCAAAGCCTGGCTCTGCCATGACATGGAGACCATCCTTTCCCAGCCTCCCTTCCTCCCTCCCACGCCCAGGTTATTTGTTGGTGCTGGGATGCCAGATCCTTGCTATTCTGCCAATAACTTCTCCCCTGCTCCTATGACCTACTTCCTCCCCTCTGACTTCTCTAAAACTTCCAAAACATACTACTGGCCGTAATGCACATTCACCTGTGCCCGGAAACACCTGTGCCACCAGCCCTGCCCTATGGCTTGGAGTCAGCAGCTGACCATCAGGGACCTGGCCCGAGGCATCTCCGGTCCCTTGAACCTAGCACAAAGAACATGCCCATGATGTGCTGTGGCCTTGTGCATCACATGGTCTCCTTCCAGGTTAGCCATCTGCATCAGCAAGGGGAAAGGGGCGGGGCAGGGGCAGGGGGTTGTTAGTGTTCCTGTCTTCTGGGCCACCAGCCCTGCCCCAGCCATCCTGCTCAGGTGTCAGCCCAAAGAACGGGCCGCATCACTGAAGGGGCAGCTAGCTCTCACTGGTCCCCACTGCCTATGGGGAAGCTTTTGTCCTTGGACTCTGACCATCAGCAAGCTACCTCTGCCTCAGTACTTTTGAGCCACACGAGGCAATCTACCTCAGTGCCTTCTACAAAATGACCATGACCAGAATGACCAGAAGCACAGGCACTTCCAGGTCTCACAATAGCCCAGGGCCAAACCCTCATTTTGGATGTCAGGAAACAGAGGCTCAGAGAAGTGAGGAGGCACGGCCTGGTTCCTTCAACCAGCCAGTTTAAGTTGTAATTCTCCTGCCCTCGGTATTAGGTACTTTCCACCACACCACAAATCATCACCCAAGTCAAGTCAATATACGTGTATTAGCTGGGCACAGTGGCTCATGCCTGCAATCCCAGCACTTTAGGAGGCCGAGGTGGGCGGATCACCCGAGGTCAGGAATTCGAGATCACCCTGGCCAATGTAACGAAACCCTGTCTCTACTAAAAATACAAAAATTAGCAGTGCATAGTGGTAGGCACCTGTAATCCCAGTTAATCAGGAGGCTGAGGCAGGAGAATTGCTTGAACCTGGGAGGTGGAGGTTGCAGTGAGCTGAGATTGTGCCACTACACTCCAGCCTGGGCAAAAGAATGGGACTCTATCCCAATAAATAAATAAGTAAATATGTATTGATCACTTGCTCTGTGCCAGGAACTGGGTTAGATGCTTAATCTACCTCCAGACACCCCCCAATCAGGAGAAGGGAACGGTGGAAACGTAAATAGCCCAGTCTCCTGTGGCTCCCTGGACTACCTTCCCACCCCACTGCAACTAGACCTGACCTCTTATTTTACTTCTGCGAGCCCTAGAAGACGAAGTGACCTGGAGACAAGATGAAGAATCCTTTCCCTGTACCCAGAGAAGCCACTAAAGGCTTCATAAGTCCACTGAAGCAGTTTTTCCTGGATCTTTTTCACATGAAATAGAGAGATCAAGCTGATGCAATGGCTCACACCCATAATCCCAGCATTTTAGGAGGCCAAGGCAGGTGGTTCATGAGGTCAGGAGTTCAAGACCAGCCTGGCCAACATGGTGTAACCCTGTCTCTACTAAAAATACAAAAATTAGCCTGCCAGCTACTCAGGAGGCTGAGGCAGGAGAATCGCCTGGACCTGGGAGGCAGGGGTTGCAGTGAGCTGAGATTGCACCATTGCACTATAGCCTGGGTGACAGACGGAGACTCCATCTCAAAAAAAAAAAAAAAAAAAACACTTAGACTTATCCCAGTGAGGCTGCTTCAGCTCAAGGTTTGCAGCCCCTCTTTGCAAGGCCTTTGAGCCACACGAGGCAATCTACCTCTTCTCACCTACCACATTCCCTGAGTTTGTCCTCAAATGACTTCTGGCCATTTCAGAATCAATTCTTCTCACCCTCCCAGCACCGATATTTTCAACCCTTCAGTTTATTCAAAATAATGTGTAGTGAACCACCTCATCCAGAAAAAATAAATTGCATTGCAAGAAAAGAATTTCAGAGTCCTCCTCCACAGCCTCATTTGTAATATAATCTTTGTGCATTGTAAAGTAAGGCAGGCTTCATTTCAAAGGTATAGCAATTGGAGAGATTTTAGTAGTAAAAAAAAAGCTCAGATCATAAATGGTAAATTGATTACTCCTTCTAAGGGTACAAAGAAAATTTCTAGAACCTAAGTCTTCTTTCATTCCAGGGCTTCCACAGGGAAAATGCAGCCATCAGACATGCAAAATAAAAACATAAAGATTCTTTCTAAAGGCAGAAATTACTGCTTTAAAATACTAGAAATGGACCAGACATGGTGGCTCACTCCTGTAATCCCAGCACTTTGGGAGGCTGAGGCAGGTGGATCACCTGAGGTCAGGAGTTTGAGACCAGCCTGGCCAACATGGTGAAACCCCATCTCTACTGAAAAAGAAAACAAAAAGTAGCCAGGTGTGGTGGCGTATGCCAGTAATCCCAGCTACTCATACTCGGGAGGCTGAGGCAGGAGAATTGCTGGAACCCAGGAGGTGGAGGTTGTAGTGTGCTAAGATGGCTCCACTGCACTCCAGCCTGGGTGACAAGAGTGAAACTCCATCTCAAAACATAAAATCAAATAATAAAATAAAATCTTAGAAATGTATCGATGGTCCAAGAAGCTGACAAAGCATGCAGTTCAGCTCACTCTGAATCGCTGAGGCTTTCTCTAACTTACTCTGGCTACATCTCCTCTCTCCTGCTTCCTCCACATCCTTTACCTTTACACATACCTGTCCTGTTTTCTCCTTTTTTTTCTCACATGTGCTCCTACTTCCTTCCCTTTTTGTTCTCTGATCTCTCTCTCATCT